GTAAGGCCAGAGAAGTCTCGACCCGACCCCTTCCCTCCTACCTCAGACTCTATCGGTCATTCAGCTTCTGGCAGTGCATGAATGACTGGGGTCAGAACTGCACAAAGCGAGGTTTTTCCAACATCGAAGATACTAATAAGTGCAATGCAAATGAAGCCAGCCATACTTCTTTGTTGTATCTTTCGGACGTTTATTGAACACACACAACATAGGTAATTTTAGGACTGGGACATTTAAGGTACGTAAAAAGAGGTTAAAATTGATTGAAACTTGTCACAATAGGGATCATGGCACGTCTCATTGAGGTATTCAATTACCTTCATGAGGGAAGTGCTTTGCTTAAAAATAAAAAATATGTATATATGTCTTACACCTGCCACGTATTTTCTTTCGGTCTGCCCTATTGCAAAGAATGCCGTGCGGAGTGAAGCCCATCCGCTAAAAGGGTCGATGCTGAAGGTTAACCTCCTCTTCATCGTTAAAAAAACCTGGTTCCGACAACCTCTAAATGGCGAGTATGTTACGCTTGCTGCTGACCGTAGTTCGCACCAACGTCCTGCAAACATTACTACGTTTGGAGAACCTCTGGCACAACCGTCCGATGTTTCTTAAGTCTTAGGAGCCCCCCGGTCTGTGAGAAATTCACATCCCGTTTGCGTGCTAGTCCGCGGAGTACACTTCCCCACGTTTAACGTTCGGACTCTCTACCAAACCGGAAAGCTAGATCAACTGTTACGCGGGGCCCAGAACTTGTCCTTGAATATCATAGGCATCCAAGAAAGCTGATGGATTACAAAGGAAACAGTCTCACAATACTGGAACGACTATCGTGAGTTTATGTTCATCTATTCTTCTGCCTCCCAACCTCGGGTCGTTAGTGTTGGGTTACTGAATCGCAACAAGTTTGCAAACTCATACAGGGCTGCTGAAAGTCCCGGAACGAATTCTGAACGTGTACTTTGAGGGAACCCCGCTCGCAGTTGTCTACGTCATCTACGCTCCTACAGATGTTGCCAACGATATTAAGAAGCCTTCTTGAAAGACCTCCACGCAAGTCTCTCCAAGGAGCAACCTCACTCCGTTGATGTCGTCCTTGGTGATTTTAACGATGAAGGCAAACGGCTAGTTGATCTATTCTCCCAAACGCGTATACGTCCTTTCTCTAGTGTCCCCTCAGCGTCGGTGTTTGAAAAGTAATTAACGTCAAACCCCACTGTTTTTGTAGACTTCTTGGGAAAGTAGGACAGTGACTTGAAATAACACAAAAAGTGCAATGTATAAGAACTCCGTTAACCGAGCAAATTTCGTACCCTGAATTGATGGTGGAAGAAAATTGCATGTCCCAGCAACATATGATTGTTGTGTTAGGCAGCTACAAGGAATATTGTCATATTTCACTTAGTTTTGCCAATTATGGATACTTGTTAAATTATGAAAATTGGCCTTAGAAAAGAAATTACCTCTGATCAATTAAATCACGCCTCATGCAGAATGAACAAAAATAGCTATATACTCCCAGCATTCTTATTTTTAGTTATACATGTACTAGTGTAGTCTATTCCAGGTTTTTGTTAATATGGTCCATCTGTTTCCAGATCTGTAGCTGTTGTTTCATTAAATAATCTTTCTGATCAATATTTTAGCCAGTTATTACTCTACCAACCAACAACTTGTAATCTAAGTTTCGTACAGATTATGAATTTGGCTAATAGCTGTATCATAGTAGGAGAGAAGAAAATAAACTATTTGTTCTTGATTGGTTAATTTTAGAATACACTTTTCCAGTACTGTTTTACAAAGCATCTTAACATCACTGTCAATGTGGTGTGTTTTGAAGAAAATTCCCAAGAAAGACATATAGGTTGTTCAGACAACTCAAGATATAAGTCATATATTATTTTTAATATTTTTTCAGCTGGCTCTTTTTCAAAATAGGTTACGTATGTGTAATTTCACGAGTATACCATTTGATTACCTATTAATATCATGGATGACGAATTATTGGATTTTTGACAAGTTTATCCTGGATCGTATCGATCGAGAGCTCCCGAACTTTTTTAAACGTTTAGAGCTTAAATTTGGCTTAAGTTCAGACTTTTTCGACAAAATACCTGTTAGAATCCTTCTTGATGTGCTCTTTCGTGTGTTCAGGTTTTCTAAAGCGTCTTTTTGTGCTCTGACATCTTCATTCATGACATTTCAAAACTTCGTCGCCATCTTGACACTGAGACGTACGGAAGGTTGCCATGGCAACTTTGTAATTTCGCATAGTGAAATTGAAAATTAACGCTGAAATTTCGCGCCAAAATTAAGGAGTAATTCGTCGCCTATGATATTAAACATCATTAAAAGTAGATTAAAACACCATTAAAAACAGGTTAAAACACTCTGATTAACAGTAGCTTCAAACACCATTCAAAACACGTTAAAACGCTATTTAAAGCAGGTTAAAACACCATCAAAAGAAGCAGGGGCACCCGACGTAACGGCTGTTTTCTGTATAATATCATAGGTGACGAATTATTCCTTACTTTTGGCGCAAAATGTCAGCGTTAATTTGTAATTTCACATGTGAAATTACAAAATTGCCATGGCAACCCTGCTGTACGTCTCAGTGTCAAGATGGTGACGAAGTTTTAAAATGCCGTGAATGAAGATGTCAGGGCACAAAAAGACGCTTTAGAAAACCTGAACACACAAGAGAACATCAAGAAGGATTCTAACATGTATTTTGCCAAAAAAGTCTGACAACTTCTGAACTTTATAAGCCAAATTTAAGGTCTGATTTAAGGTTTAAACATTTGAGAGAGTGGAGTTCTCGAATCGATACTATCCAGGATAAACACGTCAAAAATTCAAGATTGCTAACGAAATTCGTCACCCATCATATTAATAGGTAATCAAATGGTATACTCGTGAAATTAGGGAATAATTTCACTTGCGTTCTGTCCAAATCCTAATAATTTCCCTCGCCTGAAGGCTCGGGAAATTATTAGGATTTGGACAAAACGTGCGTGAAATTATTCCCTAATTTCACTCGTCACCATTTGATTACACATACTAATATCGGTTCCGAGACGCAAATATTACCTAGAATTTTCTTTCGGCTTGAGGACGGTTAAAAATTTCCGGCTGAACGTGCAATTTTCGAAGCTTATCTTACTAATAAATTCCCCACAAATGATTTTCTGAAATTTAATTTTTCATATTTTACTACCCAGGCTACACCATTTTAATTTAGAAAAAGCAAACCGAACGTTTTCGGATTCTAAAATGTGATGGAGAGAGGAATCAGCACCTAAACGTTTTGGAAAAATAATATCTGAAGCCCTTGTCATTTCGGAAAGTCTATTAACTTAAAAGTTCCCCTAGGATGACCGAACAGATAAAAATTTTGTAGCGCCGCTTAGAAGCATTTCTAGATATCTAAAAGTACCCTGGATAGTCTAAAGAGCGTCTTCATCGTATTTTGGAGGAAACCGTCGTTGGGTGCCCCTGAAGCAGGTTAAAACACCGTTAAAAGAAGGTTAAAACTCCATTAAAAGCAGATGAAAACACCAATAAAATCAGCAAAAAAAACCCATAAAAATATAATTTGGTACCTATTTTAAATGTAGTTCTCAAATACAATAAACACAGTTTTTAAAATATATAAAAATATGTTAAAAATTCACACGCCCTCCACACTTTTCAACTTGCTCATGTACTTCAGCATCTTTTTCTTCTCACCCTTCTGTAAGCACTCCTTGTAATACTACTTGAGTGCCCTGCGTAGATACAAAAATATGTAAGTATATCAAGTTGTTTAAGATGTTGCAGAAACCATATCACATATCTACACCTAACCTTCTTAATTTCCTCACTGAAATCGCCTCCATATGCATTTTGGCTATCCTTGTTTTGAACAAATATACCGTATTTATTTGAGTTTGAGTAGGAGTGGAGGGGGTGGGTTGGCGGTGGGCGCTTATTAAGTTATTCTGCCTTTAGGATGGGTGCTTATTCGAGGTGGGCGCTAATTCGAGGTTGGGCCCTTATTCGAAGAAATGCTGTATTTGTCTGAATTCATTTACACATGACTACTAGGTTTTTCGCCCGGAGCCGCGCTGCACGCCACTCTGGTGTAAACAATTTGAAGGGGCTGCCTTTAAGGTCATCACAGGCAGACATCTCAGGAATACAAAATATGAAACGTTAAACTAATCATTACGGCAAGGCGATGAAGAAGTAAAGAAAAGAATGAAACAAAAAATATTATTTAAACAAATTTGCCCAATATTTTGGTTTGAAAAGAAACGTTCTTTAGGAGCTAAAAGAAAAATGAAGATAAAACTAAAACTTAGTTAAAAATAGAGTTTGAAAACATGACAATAAAAACAATGGATTGTTATTGGTGTAGGACCCTAGGTAGTATCTTATATCAGCGAGCTTTATTACGTCTACTTATTCCTAGAGGAGATAATGTGTTCCCTTTGTGTATTAAATGATGATCTTCTCTAGCCTTTCTCACTAGGTCACGGTTGCTGCGTATGATTTCAAGTGGGATTAAAATGATGTCGTTGATTGAATGTCCAGCATGATTAAAATGTAAGGAGACAAGAGTGGGATCGCTGAGTTGACGGTGGTTCAAGATGGATTGGCGATGTTCTCCAAATCGTTCATTAAGTTGGCATTTGGTCTTTCCAATGTACTGGCATCCGGCATTTGCATTTGTTGCATTGCATTATCGTTTCTGGGCAACGTATCGGAAAGTACTCGATAAAAACCGTCTCGATGACCTCGCGATTACGTATTCGGCACTCCAGTCGAAACCGTGGAATCGAGACTTGTTCCAACCTGTCACGTTGTCTCTTTATACGTCTTGTCCCTTAAAAAGCAGTGGAATCCCAGAGGATTAATCATCAATCCATTAGCATTTTTCTTTTGAAAAGCTGTGAATCGAACATGCGAATTATTTGGATATTCTAAAAAAAAACAAAAAAAAAAACAGACAAACAAACCTGTTTCTTTTCCTCCTTTTTAACAAAAAATCTGTTATATGGAGCATCACTACCATCATCGTCATGACCATCATTATCTCCGTCATCGTCATGCTTGTAATCCTCTTCATCATCAACATCGTCAATATTACCATCATAACTGCCTTACCGCTGAGATTCATCTAAAAGTAAGTATCCTTTTGTTAGCACTACTCGGTATCCTGTACCTTCTTATCATGGACAATTAATCTTATAGTCCCAGACTTAAACTGAATTGAACAATTTGGATAATATCCAAATTCATACTTGGCTCCGAAACTCAGGGGAATAAAACAAAAGAAATGTATTATTCATTGCTGAGCCTCAAGATGATTTCTTTTGTTTCATTCTCCTAAGCCTTGGAGCCAAGTATGAATTTAAATATATCGACATTCGTGTAGTGAATTGTAAAACACATACCTCCTTTTTTATCACCAAAGTTATCATCAGCATCATCATCATCATCACGATTACTATCTCCATCATCATCACAGTCTTCATCATTATCATCACCATCACTACCATCGCAAATATCAACAACATCATTTCCGCACCAATGTAACCCTTGATCTAAATGGAAGTATAATTTTCTTGTTAGCTCCTAGGCCTCTAAAATACTGTTAAATGCCAGAACAAAGATGACCACATTGCGCCTGTTTGTATTGAGGCTTTCTGTTAAAGAGCAGCCTATTTAGTTCCTGTTAAAATTTTAAAAGCAGTCAGAAAACAGTCTACAACATGAATGATGTCACTCCACATATCCAAAAGCGGTTTACAATGGTACAGTCGTGTGACTCGTAGTTGTGCAATCTCCTCAGTGGACATACTACATCGGACAATCGGAACCCTGACCTTTGCGATGACCGGACGCAACGCTCAGCGCCAACTAACAATGACTTTAATCGGAAATGGGCATTTGTTAAATTATGCAATGAAATTAAGGATTTAAACACACACACACACAGGTAGAAATGAACCATCACTTGGATAAACCGAATCCGCTTACTTCGTTGATCATCACTGGTACTTGTTGTAGAAATCTTTCCTGGTGGACAAAACGGAAATAACTGAACATGAAATCAAACACTGAGGGAAACAGAAAATCAGCATACTCTGATCAACGCTGGTACCACATGAGCAGTACTTTTACCTCCGTTACCCGTTATACAATCATCAGTTCAGTCGATGCTATGTAAATGATACGAACAAGGAAGGGAAAAAGGGAAAAAAGATTTTATATTTCCTTTATCTGGTCCATGATGCCCGTACTGGTAGTACGCGTGTTCTATGATGATGGAGTAACTGAACGGAAACCATAATTAGATGAAACGAGTCAATGAGGTGAGACGTGAGTTAAACGTAATGTAAACGTGGGTTGGAATGCGGGTAAATTAAGGCAAATATGGCTAAATCGGTTGAAACATGGATAACTGAGTGTTGTGGGTAACGTACACTGTAGGATAAACATGGGTAGATGGGGTGAGACGATGGGGTGGACAACGTTGATTAATACAAGTAAAAGGGATCACACGTATGGGAAAATTGGAGAAACCATTGAAAAAAAACGGGATATGGGAAGACACTGGAGTAACTTGGGGTAAGTGTTGGGAAACGAGATGAGACATGGTTTACTGTGTAATAACATTAACTAGGGGTAATCATGGGTAAAAGGAGTGAAACGTGGATAACTTGAAGTTAGGTTAACTGGTTGAAATGTGGACAACTTGGAGTAAACGTGGGTAAATGGGTATGTATGTATTCACCCCCTTACTAAATTTTCAACATAGGCACGTTAAACGTGCATGAGCTATTTTGAATGCTTCAGTGTAACTATAATACTTCGGTGTAACCTTACCAAGAGTGATGAATCTACCTTTTTCATCCTAAATGTAGATTTGGTTTTTGTGCGAAATTGGGTATTGCGCTACATAAATGAAAACGCGAAACGCTCAGCTGAGTCGATCCTCAACCTATGTATTCACTTTCCTCCGTCTTTCCCAGTTACATCTGGTGCAAGTTAAACAAATTGCTAAAGTAAAATAAATTTCTACTCACCAAAGGTTGATTAGAAGGAAAACTCTAAGGTTTCCGCGGAGTTTCTTAAGCCAAAATGTGACTCATCGAATACTGAATAGTTACGAAATACCAGGATTTTTATCATTGAGGTAGATGGTTGCGTCATCATAATTCACGAGGTTTTCACGTGCGATTCTACTCAGTGAAACAGTCTTTAACTCCGACAACTTATTTCTTCATGTTTTAAAAGCTATTGCTTCTTAAAAGGCAAGAGCCTTTTTTAAGGCATTGGTTACAAAACGAAACAGGTCTTCATACGTCCAAGTTACTATTTATCATTGTGAAAAGCCAATCTACATGAGATGTACAGTCACACAGCTGGCACGTGAAAGTGTTGGACTTTGTCCCCTTTCGTGGTTCGTACGTGAGGGAATTCGAGTTATCACACAATAAACTAGTAAACAGAATTATAAAAATAACTCTTGCACACAATTTGCACGTGAAGATGTTGGTCTTTGGCCCTTTTACAATTCGTACGTTAAAAAAAAGGCAAATTGTTTACTACAAAATTTTCTCAAGCGATTTTAAGAAATCACCTCGGCTTCATTACAACATCTGCAATTAAATTATGTTTCATGCAACGTCAAGGTTGATAACCTAACATTTATTAACATTTGTGAGACAGTCTTTAACTGCGATAACTTATTTCTTCATGTTTTAAAAGCTATTGCTTCTTAAAAGACAAGAGCCTTTTTTAGGGCATTGGTTACTAAAGGAAACAGGTCTTTATACGTTCAAGTCACTATTACTATTGTGAAAAGCCAATCTGCATGAGATGTACAGTCACACAGATGGCACGTGAAAGTGTTGGACTTTGCCCCCTTCCGTGGTTCGTACGTGAGGGAATTCGAGTTATCACACAGTAATCGAGTAAACAGAATTATAAAAATAACTCATGCACACGATTTGCATGTGAAGATGTTGGTCTTTGGCCCTTTTACAATTCGTACTTAAAAAAACGCAAATTGTTTACTACAAAATTTTCTCAAGCGATTTTAAGAAATCACCTCGGCCTTATTACAACACCTGCAATTAAATTATGTTTCATGCAACGTCAAGGTTGATAGCCTAACATTTATTAACTTCCAAGAAAATTATCAAACTGCCGAAATATATTTCTGCTCATATCATGTTACTCCACTCAATAAAGCAGTACCTAATTATATAATTTTATTCCCTAACGTTACTGTTTCTACTTAAGTTTATACGCATCTTTACTAAATAAAATACGTTTCAATAACTATAATGCTTAGTATGCAGGAAGGATGTATCGTGTTGTTCACTTATTATTCCTTTTTGTTGTTGTTTTGCCGGAACGAAAAAGGTCTGTTGAACTTTGTAAGCGAGAGAATAATATTTCTACAGCTTGTTTACAGGATTAACAATACTCGGTACAGCTTTTAAAAAAATAAGCTGCTTTTCAAACTTCTAAAACCACATTTTATAGGCCGCATACTTTCGAATTAAAGTCCATATCTAAATATCAATTATTGCTTCACTGGAAGAGCTTCGAATATATATGATCGTTTATACTCTACCTTGAAGCAGGTGAAACACATCTCAAAAATACGTGCGTGGTACCGTTCGCGATAGCCGAATTCGGTCAGAAATGTCTTGAAGTAGCATCCACACTAAAATATGAACCCTTAAACAGCTGCATCACTGTACACAGCGTTTGAATCATGACGATATTTAATATAATGTTTCCAAACACCTGTAGCCGTAATAAAAGACGAACAAATTGTAAAGAATCAAGATGGCGGTCTTAAAGTGCCCTTGTTCGACCTTTAGCAATGTGATTTTTAAGTAGATGCCAAGATCTCATTGGTTCCTTAGCATCAACTCATAGTACCTTCAACCTTATTGGCTCTTGCAACAAACATCCGAACATACAAAGTTACAAAGTTACAAAGTTACAAAGATACAAAGCCACAAAGATACATACGCTCACACCACTGACATATGAGCTATTTTTTCAAAATAGCTCAATAATGGATTAACTATCAATTCCATTACTATTTTTCCTTGGCAAAGCTGTAAATTTGAATATTGTTAAAACACAAACCTGTAGCTTTTTCCCCTCCTTCAAAAAATAATCTGTTATATGGAACATCACTACCATCATCGTCATCACCATCATTATCTCCTTCATCGCCATCCTTGTTATCATCTTCATCATCAAAATCGCCATTGCCACCATAATTGCTTTACCATGGAGACGCATCTAAATGTAAGTATCCTTTTGTTAGCACTACTCGGCACCCTGTCCCCCCTAATCATGGACAATTAATCTAAACGTCACAGACTTACATTGAATCGACCAAATTGGTATAATTTTAAAATTCATACTTGGCACTGAGGCTCAGGGGAATAAACCAAAAGAAATGCATTATCATTGCTGAGTCTCAAGACGATCTCTTTTGTTTCATTCTCTAAGCCTTCAAGTGCTAAGTGTAAATTTAAATATATCGACATTGGTCTATTGAATTGTAAAACACATACCTCCTTCTTTATTAACAACATCATCATCATCATCATTATTATTATCCCCATCATCGTCATGGTCGTCATCGTCATCATCGTCGTCATCATCATCATCACCACCACCACTACCATCACCATCACTAACTTCAATGTCGCATCAAAGACACCCATCTAAATGGAAGTTTCCTTTCGTTAGCACTACTCGGCATCCTGTATCGTCTAATCATAAGTAATCTACTGAGGCTCAAACTTTTGCCTGTAGAATACTGTTAAACCACAGCCAGAAATTTTGAACCAAAATTTTCGTGCTAATTATATGAATATGTTTGTTTTATGGGCTAAGCCGCTGTCAGATCTGGCCGAGTACGGGCTCAATGTCACGATACACAAACATGACTGTATTTACAGTCAAAAAGGAACCGCTGAACGAATACCGTCAATTATTCTGAAACGTGTTCAAAATGCAAGAAATTCTCTCTCGAATGAGAGGGTTCCCATGAAATTTGGAAGATTTTTCGCGGAGATATTGAAAAGCGAATATCAGGAAATTTCGCTGTGGAGTCCATACTGAAATTTAGGGTGTCTTCAAAGTTAAAAACAGAAAGAAATTTCAATCGGGAAGTGCAAAGTGCCACTGGACCTGAAAGTGGGCATCTTTAACTCGCAGAACCGATGCAAAGTGGTTGTATCCAACGAACTTGGACGCCAACTGGAACACTTTAACTGGGCTCTGTTTCGGCGTTTTATCGCCGACAGCCATACAAATCCTTTACAGTCAATTTGCAAATCTCTTTACCTCAAAACCGAAACGGATAAAACTTGCAAGATACGTATAAATGCAGATTCATTTAGTTTAACAAAAATACTAATGAAATTGATGCAAAGTCAGTAACCTCTAATGTCTCTAGGACAGCTCTTTTCGATTTCCGATCTTTTCTCAGTCATTTCTATGTAATGAAAATTGCATTGATATTTTTTTAAGTGTCGCCTCTCACTGCGCATGCCGATTCGAAATTTCTGGCGATGCACCAAAACAAAGATGACCACATTGCGCCTGTTTGCATAAATTAGGTTGAATATGGCTAAATGGGGTAACAAGGTGGATACGTAGGGGTAAACATGAGTAACCGAGGTAAAACGTGACTAGCGGTTAAGATGTTGGCCAAACGAACTGAGCGAGAACAACTTGGGTTGCTATTATATTTGCAGTGTTCCGTTATGAGAAAAAGCATGTTAACTAACCAAGTAACAGGCTGTAAATTGAATTGAAAGACACATACCTGTTGTATTTCGCCCTCACGTTCAAGTACCAAAAACAATATCATCTGAAATATCATTATTGCCATCACCAACATCATCTCCTCCGGCAGAATCGTCGTCATCTTCATCACTATCAATATTGCCATATAATCCACTATCACCGCGATCAACAACAGTGCCACATCATTGGGATCCATCTAAATGGAAGTATCCGCTTTCGTTAGCATACTCGACATCCTGTACCGTTTAATCATGGGCAATAAACTAGAATCTACTTAGGATCAAACTTTTGACTTTAGAATACTGCGTGTTAACACCACATCAAAGATGACCCTATAGCGCCTGTTTGCGATAGCTGCATATTTAGGCTTCTTGTTTGGGAGAATTCGAGACAAATAGCATCTCGTAGACAGGGCATTCCAATTTATTTCTGCGTTTTTTAAGAAATTGTCCGTGAGGGTTGGCTTATCGACCCCATATTCCTCCATGTGCCCCCCGATCAACGTATATGATCTTGAGTGTTCGCGGATGCGCTGATGTAGGTGGTTAAACCAACATTGTCCATATCATATAGTCCACATTTGAAATTATATACAACGTATTGCTCATTTAGACCATATTCGATCTTCTGTTTCGGCTCCTTTGTCTTTGAGGATGTTTCCTAACTTCATACTGGTGAAAACAGGGTGCAGAGGAATAGCTATTTTTGAGCCAAGACTCCGAAGTTGTTTTCTTTCAACATCTCTGAAACTGATCATTTCTCGGCACTCTTGATAATGATGTTTGAGTATATCGAAACGTCGAGTAACGTTTTTAAGTTCAATTTTTTTTTTGTTAAATACATTAATGAACGAATAAGAAAATTCCAACTGAAAATACGTTTCACTACAATGCTGTTTTTTTTTTTCAGCCCAGGATAGTGTTTGGATGTTCGCTGGCTAGGTTTTGCTTAGCATTTGAGGGTCTCGCAGTGAAACAATGGTAGTCTTTACACTGGACCCTAAATAAACTAAGAAATATTTCAAGACAAGTAAATATAAAATACTTAAAGTATAATAAAGCTTCACACAGAACCGTTTCTTGTTTACTTGAGGTTAACTTAAGGATATTTTCCTAATTAAGATTGATTGACATGCGTCGCTAATCTCAAAGCTCAATAAACCGCATGTTGGCTAAGTCGGTTTTAAGGGTGGTTTTCAAGTCACTTAAAACTTCTCTAGAAAATCGTTTCCAATTTTCGACTTTAATGAGATGCAAAGTAACATAACTTGAGATTTTACTTACTATAGGCCCTCACAAACGTATCTTTGGTTAAGTAAAACTTAGGAGTTCTGAGTCTTACTTAACAGCCTATTGTAAAGACTATCATGTAATAGTATTTACTAATAACAATTTTCGCGTGTTTTGATTGGCTCCCGTACCTCGGAATATCGTTGATTAGTATCCACCAAATCAGTGGATGGCGATTTTCGTGCGTTCTGATTGGCTCCCATAACTCAGAATATCCTTGGATATTCACTGTTTTGGGACGGGATTCAAAATGGCTTCTCGTTTCGCGACGGTTTCGAAAGATGAAATTTTAGCGGTAAATGAAGCAGCTGCTCCAACAAATACCAAGAAAGAGACAAAATTTGGCTTGTCGCCGTTTACTGGTCTGTAGAAAAAAATTTAATTCTCACTGAATTTGCAACAGAATCATATAAAATGATCCTCGAAACACTGTCAATTGCAACGTAAACAAACTCTAACCAGTGCTGGTTCTAGACCTTGAGATAACAGGGGGGTGGTCATCCAGACCCTGAGATAGTGGGGGCGGTCTCCAAAACATTTTTCGGCTCTTCGGGCTTCAGTTTGGTCTAAGAGTAAGGGGGAGGGCGGGCTCCCCGGGCCCCTTCCCTGGGTCCGCCACTGCTAACTAAGTGATGTCTTTTATTTACAAAAAGTTTCTTTTTTATTTTTATCCAACTGATTTGGAAAATACTAAAACAACTATCCCCCTCAGGCTCGGTTCATAGCGCTATATATATAACTCGACGCTTCGCGTCTCGGTATATACCAGAACCACTATTCATCTTCCCCTCCGGGGATAGTTGTATATTATTTACTGTTTTGCGACCGGAGCCAAGATAGCGTCTCGTGTCGGGACATTTTCGAAAGACGAAATTTGAGCGATAAATGAAGCATTGTCATGAAACTTTGTAGAGTAATTTGAGTCATTTGGAATTTGTTTATTTGTTCATTTATCACGACTATTGATAATACAAGGCTTGAAATTCATTTGCGATTTATTACAATTCAAACATACAGCTTTTTTAATCTCACAGAGATTATTTGCTAAACATGTAACACTCAAGTTCTTAATGTTGGATTTTCAATGGACATGCCTGTTACATGTCGCAAAACTCGTCCTGACAAAGAGTTGTGTTTGTCGTTGTCATGGTGATGTTGATTTTACTTCAAGCTATATTTTGACAAACTTCAATTCAAGGTCAGCTGGTGGTGAAAATTTTATGGCGATCGGACAATAATAAATTCACATTTAAAAATATCGGTATGGTCAGCTCCGAAAAACTGTATCGAAACACCTTTAAAAACTTTAACTAAGATAACACGCAAATATGAAAAAAGGCATTAAATTTCGCGTTTTAAGCGTCCTCAGCTTCATTTCATTTTTTAAAAAAGGTCTGAAAGTTTTCAAATTTCTATAAGTTGAACTGGAGAGCAATATGTGAAAGCTTTAGACATTAACCGTATTTCACTACTAAGAGTTTTGATTGCAGTAAGGAAAACGGGCCAAAATGTTTAAATTTTAATTTCCAAATGTTCTAATTAATAGTCAGTGTATCCTTTCTATATTGAACATTCATCAAAATACATAAAATTTCAACGAAAATTTAATGTTTTAATTTTTGTTGCGGAGGAAACACTTTCGTTGCGGAGAAGACCGCTACGAAAGCAAGACTTGTTTTGGGGAACCAGCTTGCCCCCCGAGACTAGTAGAAAGCATTGGGCATGAGCAGTGAACTGTTGCATTGTGGGTACACTCATTGCCAGAAATTAGGGACAAGATGGCGGTTGCGCGTGCGCACTAAGGCCACAATGGCTGCGAATTCGCATAAGAAAATGTATGGAGATAAGGAAACTTTTTCAAATATATCGATTATGAGCTCACGGGTGTTCGGTGCACGACTCGAAACATGTTAGGTGCTATGTAACCTTCGCATCTGGGTTAAAAATAGCTAATTAGAAGTAGGTTTACTTACTTCCCGAAGTGGCCACTTTTATCTCTCGTTGTACGCTCCATTTCTCCATACATTGTCTTAAAATCTTGCCGAAGTCATGCGAAATACTCGTCGATTAGAGGATAAACCCTTCACTGAAGTAAATTTGCACGACTCGATATTACTTCTGCGATGGAAGATGTTTCCAAAACAGTCGTTAAAAGGACGATTTTTGCACTGGAAAATACTTCCAAAAGGCGCGTTATTTCCCTCAGTTTTCCATCTGTAGTCCAGTAATGGACGCCATAGTTGCGAATGACACATTTCAGTCGGACAAAGCTTCACAACTCCAAACCTCACCGAATCGCCATTTTGTTTGTTGCTAAAACTCCAGAGATGCTTCACGGGATATAAACTAGGTTCCAGGCATTCAAAAATCCTCGATTAGCCTACCAGGCTTGGTTTTAAAACAAAATTGTCACGAAAATGTCACGAAAGGTACATCCGCGTACTGTTTTGTTGCTTTCAGCCGCTCGGCCGAGTATAAACCTAACATTTTCTTGCTAGGTGTTTTATTCCAGCTTTTTTCCTCGTAAAACGGATCCACAGAGCTCAAATTATTTTAAAAAATCGCAGGGGATACGCTTTCCCTGACTACGATCGTTTTTGTCCGCCATTTGGAAATGAGATTCCGCTGACAATTAATCACGGGCGCGAAATGTCCACGATTTCTGGCAATGATATCCAGTCGGTGCAAGGAAAGATTCAAGTCACCAGGCACTTTAGACGATGTTGTCTATTCTTCCTTTTACATATAAAATGTATCGATCAAACTAGATTAAGTTATTTATTAATACTTATACATGTATAACCGCAGGTTATCAATAAACCCTTATTAAAGCCTGTCTTATATCGGCAGCCATCTCCTGTCGTTCAGTACTTTCTGATCCACGGTTTACCCTTAACAAAACAGGGTTTTTTACAGCGAGCCCTTTTGTCTTCTCCTCAACGTCTTCCCCGCAACAGGTCCACGTCAAATCATTGCGAGATTTCGGGTACATTCAGAAGGAATAACTAAATAATTTTTTCTTTTGACGATTAATTACAGAGAGCTGTTTCTTTGTAAGGAAAAAGTCATTTTAAAAGATTCCCGAATTAGAAAGAATCTAACCTTGAATTGAGAAAATAAAAATTCGCGTTTCTAGCGAGTCTTCTCCGCAACGGGCAATTATTCCTTGACTGTATCTCTCCGTAAAGTTTATATCTATGTAAAACAAATAAAAAAGTTGGAATTTTTCTTTCAGCAGTTTACAGAGGAGCGATTTTGTGTCTCCGAAGTGTCTTCTCCGCAACGACAGATTACCGTGGAATGACTCAAAACAGTGTGCGCAAGATACAAAACGGACCTTATCAACAGTGTAACACTGTAACCAGTTGACAAGTTATATTGTCGATATTTAATTTCGCGAGCTTAAACTTCTCGAGGATTTATTTTAGCGGGTCTTTATTTTTGCGATCTTTTTTGCAATCGCGAAGAACGCGAAATTAAGGACCCTATCATCTCCTTGTCATATCTTGACTCTTGAAGTAATGAAAGTAGCCGGCAGAACCTTGCAGAGAAGCCGGTGAACCTCGCCGGCTGCCGGCTCTAGCCCTGACTCCTCACGTCACTCACCATGGTCCAAATTACCAATGTTGCGACATGGTCAACCATGTAAGAACAATGGACACAATGACCGCGTTTAATCATGGTCAATTGTGGTCTAATATTGAAATGGTCAGGAAGCAGCAAACAATAATTTTCCGTGGTTGATCACATTTTTAAACATGATCAACCATAAAAGGTCAAAAAGATACCATGATATAACATGATCAACCATTTTCAAGGCAAAAGGCCCAAGGCAAAACATGGAACAGCATAGACAACCATGT